ACAAAAAGCTGCCGAGATCACCCAGGGCTGTGAAAATTGCCGGGGGGTCTGAGCGAGCGATGCCCTTAGTTGCTGCCGGGGGCGATCTGGACTGAACCGACTGGGAGGAGGTCCCGGGGCCGCGCAGAGGGTGTGGAGCGAGCTCTGTGGTCGCAGGTGGCGGACGCGCGCTGGACTCTGAGGCGCTTCCCTACCTCGTGCCCCACGCGGGTCGAGCCACTTACATCAAGCCCAGGGTGCCCAGTGGCGCTGTCCTGCGCAGTCTTCCGGCGCGATCCCACCCAGGCAGCGCCAAGGACGTGAGTCGAGGGCACCGGGGCTTACCAGGTGACCGGGCCGAGCAGGAGCCGGCGGGGTGGCGGGGTGGAGCGGGCTCTCGAGTCCCAGCTCCCTCCTCAGCCTTGGCCGCTGCTCTGGCGGGGGCGCTCTCAGGCTCCGGACTTTTCATTCATCCCTTCACACTCCTTCCTCAGGCCAGCCTCTGATTGGCTATACCTGGTCTGACGTCACTGCCTCGTTTCTTCCCCCCCCCCCCAATCCTCGCCCCCTCCCTCCCCAGGCCAGTCCAAGGCTCGCAATTGGGGTGCCCCTCCCCCAGAGAATGGGGTGGGGTGTGGGAACCAATGTCTTCGTGTGGATCCTCAGTCTTTTGCTGCCTACATCTACTACCCGCCTGCCACGTTTGAAATTCATTGCCATTTGCGGTTCTGATGGCCACCCTCGCTCTTCTTGGAGGTCCTGTATTTTCCATTTGGGCCCTACAGTACGTTACACCCTAAGTTCACAAAGACAGAAAATAGATTGGGGAAAATTCCCTCAAAGACAGGTGATCTTTTGTAACTTCAGTGCTGGGGAGGTTGAGGCAAGGGTATGGCTTGGAGACTCTATCAGTCCCAGCCCCCTCCCATCAGGGGAGTCTTTTTGAGTTCTAATCCCTCCTAATATCTAGGAGAGGTAAGGATCTCTTTTGTTCAAGGTTTTTCAACTCAAAACACTGAAGAAAAGACTCTGCAGTTTGAGACGCCTGCTGGGAAACAATGGGTGAGCAGAGGCAGCCCCCTCTGCATTCCTGGGCAACGTTTCTTGAACCTGTCTGCAGCATCAAGTTTCTATGAGAGGAAAGATAACCACAGCTGAGAATCCCAGCCGCGTTTGAGACTCGGAATATGGCCCCAACCCTGAAGGCCTTTCATAAGTCTTCTCTCCCTATACCCATGATCCTCCAGGCTCCACTGTGCCTGCTCTGGAGCTGGGCTCCAGCAGGAAGATAACTCTTCAGCACAGCTTAGTCCCTCAACTTTCTCCACCTGGCTCATTCAGCCAGATGGTCCTTCTCTCTGCCGCAGAAACGGAAAAGCACCGGGTAGTAGCCGGTTGCTGGTGGACAGGATTTGGGTCCTAGCTACAGTGACATTCTCAGAGCAAGCCATGGACCCCCAGGAATTGCTGTGTCTGCCCGTGAGCTGCCCCTCTGTGTTCCTACTCACCCTCTGCTAGGTCCCTTCTACAAAACTGGTTCAGGTACCCAAATCCTGCAGGTCAGATTAATACCGGCCAGCTCCCTTAACCAGGGACCCTAAAACTCTAGATCACCAGAAGTGGGACCATCATTTTAACCAGCAGGCCTGTCCAGATTTTTCTATCTGCTAGTCCATGTACAACCCAAGACAAAGCCAGACCTGTGTGTTGCTTGTCTTGCTTAGATGGAAGGTAGTGACCAGTAGGTTTAACTTGATGCTTCTCCCCAAACCAGGAGAATGTCTGAATACTCATCGCCATTAATGCTGGCAGCATGGGTGTGGGTGGGGCAGATCCGAAATGAGATAAAGCCCACCGGCTGTTTCCCTGCCAGAATGGTGATAGCAAGCTGAAGCAAATGGCCAGATCGCTCCAACGTCTCAGGGCATTCTCAGGGCCAGGTTTAGCCAGAATTCTCTGTTAAACCTCTACAGTGTCTTAAAGCTCTTTTCCAAGAGAGAGGCTAATTAATTGATTTAGGTACTGAATTAAATTAAGCACAGGGCCTCACATAGGCTAGGCAAGCCCTCAACCACTGAGCCTTCCCCTCAGTCCTCTTTTTATACTTCTTATTTTGTGACCGTCTCACTAGGTTGCTCAGGATAGCTTTGAAATTACTTTAGCCCAGACTGGCTTTGGAATTTTGATCATCTTGCCTCAGCCTCCCAAGTGCTGAGATTACAAGCCTATACCACCAAACCCAGCTAAGGGAGAGGTATTCTAGAAGCTTTGCCAGCTTGAATGCTTTACCATTTCAGAACTAGGAGTACAGTGTCCATGGTGAGGATGGAAGGACTGACAGAGAAAAAGACATACCCTACACTGTTTTCGCCTGCCCCCCACATGCCCTTACAGCTCAGAATGGGATGTCTGGAAGGTTTGGGGGCTCCTGGAGCCCCACTTGCAGAAAAAAGAGAGCTCTCCCCAAATACTCTCTAGGCAGTCCCCCTCTGAGCATGGTGCTAAATTGCAGTCCCCAAGTCCATCCCCATAAAGCTCTTCATATTTCTCCACCATGCCCGCAAACCCTTGAATATTTCTCTGTATGCCACCTCACACCCTTTCACCGGATGCCTGACACACACATTCCATGCACACTAAACTTCTCCACATACACTGGCCAAGCACCCCCAAAACATTTGCTCTTTCCACAAACCCGCTTAAAAGCCCTAGATGTGCCCTTCTCCCCCTCCCTCCCTTTCCAGCACCCAGAAGTGTGGAGGTTGGGGCCAGCCTTGTCTGCTAGCTAAAATGTTGCCCTTCCTTCTCGCCAATTTTCACCATTCCCTGCCAAGAGGTAAGAGGCAGCTGGACCAGTCAAGTCCTTCCTCTCAACCATTGCTGTGCTTTTATTGGGAAGTACACAAAGGTCTCCTTGCCTGATGTCCACTCCCTCCTCATTCTCCTCATGGCCAAATTCAGACTCAACTGGGCTTTCTCAAAACTAACCTTAAGGAAGAAATGAGCACCCTCAGCTGGGTTCTGAAATGTTCCCCCACACAGCAGATACAGAATAAAGCCCTGCTGCCTCTTATTATAGCTTTGAGCTTTTCAAGGGCAGTTCAGTCTAACAGTATCCAAATTAAGGAGAAGCTATCCCAGGAAAGAACACATAGCTAGTCTCGGCAGTCCTGGCCCACTGCACATAGCATGCCCACCCCTGGCCAACGCCTGAGGAAGCAATCTTTGTCCTGGTTCACAGGACAAGCCCAGCATCTCACCGCTCCTTTTCAGGGGTGCAAGTGAGTGGTACCTTCAGGCAAAGGGGATCTATGCTTGGAGGGAAGTAGAGGTCTCTCCACTCTTTTTAACTGGGATTAGTCCATGAATAAATCATGCTCTTCTAGCTTTAAACAACAACAAAAAAAAAACCCTTCAACGGTGTCCCTCAGGAACAAGGAGGATTTTGACATAGTCTTTGCCCATGAAGAGAAAAAGTAGGTAAGGTTCATGCAGAATATTTGAGAAACACACTTGTGTCAGAGGAGACCCATCTGCCCACTGGAGGCAGCAGGCCTGCAGAACTCACAGCTGGGCACAATAGTTCCAGAGGGTGAGATTGGTTCACCAGCCTCAGCCTCCTAAAAGAGACCTCAGCTGGAGCAGAGTCCTCTCTGTTTCCTCCAGCACAAAGCAGCCTCCTCTCTGGTGACCTGTGGACCTCACTGTGAGTCCTTCTTGGGAGATTCTGGAGAGAACATCCCAGCTCTTTGTGCTAATATGAGCCTTCATTTTTTGGGGGTCCCCGGGATCATACCTTGGACTCAACACATACTAGGTAAGTCCCCAAGCATTGAGTCACAGCCACAGAGCTGCCAACCTATTGTCTATGTGTCTGGATGACCCACAGAAAGAGAAACATGCTTATGCTATCTGGATGCAGCCTTTTGAGTCCTTATGTATACTTTGGCTTAAAGCACTTTTTTGAAATAGGTAGTTAAATAAAAACATAGTTTTTCCTTGTTTGCAAGGTGGATTTGCTTTGAAGACACAGATGAAAGCTTCATCAGTGGGTGAACTTATTTCTGAGGCAGAAGCTAATTATTATGACCACTATTAAACAGTATTCTGTTACTGAATATTTGCAATGTCTATAGAATTGTGGCGAATTAAAGTAACAATTGTCAGTTAAAAATGGTAAGTAATTTTTTTTTAAAAGTCTAGCCATATGCATAGATGAGGTGAGGATGCCTGGAGACTTGATCTAGAGGAGGTGGCCACTGAGGACACAACCTTCCTCATAAGAGGGGGAGTGTTCCCAGCCAGTGGAAACACTGCCTTTCCAGCCACTCCTGGTTCCTCCCAGACTCACTCACCTATTGTCCTGCTCCTAAGGTGTCAAGGAGGTGAGATAAAGTGACAGGGATCAGGCTCTTTCTATAAGACCTTCTATGGTCATATGCATGAGTGTGTAAATGTGTAACACACCCACAGTCACGCAAACACAGGCATGCACACTCACACTCATGAACTCAGATTCAGTGGCACATCCATGGACAAGTCTAGCAATATTACTTCCCAATTCTTAAAGGTACATGGCCTCGAATGCCCACCCACTCAGCTCTTTAAGGGCCTCAGGGCCCATTCATTCCAACCTGCACTCCTCCTCCCCTGGCTCACCTCTCACCCATACCCATATAGCTTCCTCTGTCCCCTTCTCAAGCCAACCACTTCCCCCACTTCCTCCATCTCTTCCCCCAGGAGGCTACGGAAGAAAAAGGAGGGTGCTTTGTGGAGCAATACCTTCCCTCTGCACAGAACCAGAGACAGGGTGGCCTTTTGTCCCCAGGCTGTGCTGTTGCATGGCCTCTTAGCTTTGACAATGCAGGTCATACTACAGAAGAGACCAAAATCAAAGGCTGGAGACCGGAAGGGACAGCAAGTAGGGTGGAGAGCTGGGAGAGCACCCAGGGGAACAGGATTGGCTTCCCTTTCTCCTCCCACACCCACACCACCATCAAAGCAAGGAAGGACATAAATACCCCAAAGCCAGAGATGCCGGCCACCTATGACGACATCCATCGATGATCGATGGGCCATGGAGGAGGCTGCTTCTAGACAACTGCTCCTGTGGAAGGCCTGTGGAAGGAGTGCAGAGGTTAGCGTTCAGTCCTCATCCCCACCATCATCAGTCTCCCCAGTTTTCCCCCTTGGCTCCCCGATTCAATCCTCAGGGATCAAGGCTGCCCAGCTAGGCCAACAAAGGACTGGGCAGTTCCAGGTCTCTCAGATCCTTTCTGCTCGGTGACTCTGACCTCACTGCCTTATCTTCACCTCCACTCTTCCACAGCTCCACCCCAGACCTTCAGGCCCAGTGCCCGCCCCGAGGTGAGCCCACCTGGAGGGGCTCTCTCACAGCAACCCAAAGCCCACCGCCCTCTCCTCACTGACTTCTGCCATTCTTGGGCTATCACAGTGCATAAGTGGGTGGAATGAAGGACCTGGGCTGGGGATATATTTCTGTCTACACTATGAACTGTAAACTGCTGTATGCATTGAAGACATCCTCAGTCATAGCTAGGCCTGGTGATACACACCTGTAATCCCAGCACTCAATAAACTGAGGCAAGAGAATCAAAAAAGTTCAACACCTTATCTGAAAAAATAATTATGAAACAAGATCTTTACAATCATGTTATCTCCCTTTCCCTACCCATCTCTGTCTTCAAATCCTTGAATCTCTCAGGATCCAGAAAGACATGCCATGAATGTCAGTTTTCTTCTTTTCATGTACACAAAAGGCATGGATACAAAGCAATGCTTATTATTTAATGTTTGATGTGGTGCTCCATACATATTTCACAGCGTTTTTCCAATTCTTTACATTCAGATTACATTAGGGTTTAGGGAACAGCAAAGGTAACTCCTAAAACACTCAGATGCAATTCCATACTACTTCATTTCTTTTCTTCCTTTCCTTCTTTCTTTCTTTTTTTTTTTTTTTAAGTCAGGAAGGAACCTAAATGCAGAAGAATTTGAAAGGGGAAAAAAGGCACTAGGGAGTAGGAATGAGCCTTAAACCCAAGCCAGCTTTCTAGGAGTGTTCTGTGTGCCTCTTTCCTACTTGCCTTGCTCAACTGACCCAGCTCAGCTGTACCAGCTCAGAGTCTTTGAGGGGGAAGGTCTCAGTCTGAAACTGTTATCCAAGAGTGCCCTCTTCCCCCATCTACCGACCTGTGAGAAGACAGGTAAGGGCAGGTGGCTCCTCTGATCGATTCAAAGAAGAGTTCAGCAATCCCTCGCTTTACCCATTGCTGCCCAGTCACCCCACCCCAGGCTCACACAGTGCAACATAAGAAGCCAGCCCAGTGTACACAGAACGTGTGTGTGTGTGTGTGTGTGTGTGTGTGTGTGTGTGTGTGTGTGTGTGTGAGCTGATGGCCTCTCCTAGCCTCTGGGGCACCAGGATCGCTCTTTTCTGTTCTAATCTCCACTGCTCCACAGGATTCCAGACTGTGTGTCAAAAAACACCGAGTCGGTGGGGACTGAGGGCAGGAGAGTGAGTGCCTCTTCCTTGCATCCTGGGCCTCTTAAAAAAATTAAAAACAAAAACCAAAATCCACTCCAAGACAGAACAGCTCTATTAGGTAAATGTGAAGAAAGCAGAGAGAGAGAGAGAGAGAGAGAGAGAGAGAGAGAGAGAGAGAGAGAGAGAGAGAGAGAGATCCCCCAGCCCCGTGTCTGCTCCTCACTCTCTTCCCACTCATGGGAACAGGGTGAAGAAAAATGAAATGAATATAAATCCTGTAAAATGGTTTTGGGGTTCTTCCGATTCTGGCTTCCACCTTCCTAGAAACATTGCACCTTCCCTCTCACCCCAAAGTCCCACCAGACTTGCTTTCCCTAAAACCCAGTCTCTGGGACAGATCGGAATAAGGCAGAGCAGGGAAGAGGACCAGCAGTCCAGATTCTGAGCCATTTCCCTGTCCTCTCCACTCTCCTGCCTGCCTCTCCTCTGCTGCATTAAGATGTTGGCCATGTCTGGGGGAGTGAAGGGAGGGGCGGATTAATAGGATCAGTAGCACGGTGACCCTCCCCACCCTCCCACCCCCAATCTCAATGACTAATTTACTGAACTCTGGACTGGCAGGGACTGGGTAGGGAGAGAGATCAGGGGCCTCTGGCCTGGGGCAGAGCCCTTGCTTCCAGCTCCCGCATGGATGCCCTGGATGCCCAGGAAGCAGGGGTGAAAATGCGTGGGCAAGAGTCCAATTCCACACACACCTCCTTGTCGCCTGCCTCCTTTTTATGAACCCTCCTAAATCTTTACCAGCTTCTCTTTCTGTGATTGTGGCACCAGCCTCCATTAGCCAGGAGGAAGTCTAGGTTTGAATGCCTGGACTCCTTTTCTAGGGTATCGCTCCCCAACTCCAGCCCAGATGCCTGCCAGGGTTAGGACCCTCCCTGGGCCCCAGTGGCTACTTACCTTGCCTCTGTGAGGCGAAGAGGCGATGCTGGCGCGTGGCTGCGCCGCCGCCACCGCCGCCGCCGCCGCGGGTCTCTCCCAGCTCTTCTCTTGTGGAGTGGAGGATGCGACTCGGGTACCGCTGACGCTGACGTAGCATCTCCTATCCATTCAGGAATTTCGTTTGCTTCTTTCTTTCTCTTGCTGCTCTCCCTGGAAAGCCAGGAAAAAAAGGGGGATGCTGCCCCTATCTGAACCATGACCACCACCAAAATAACAGCCTCCCCGCCAGAGCGGCCGCCTCCTTCCTTCTCAAGCCTGGGTGTGTGTGTGTGTGTGTGTGTGTGTGTGTGTGTGTGTGTGTGTGTGTCTCTGTCTTTGTCATCTCTGCTTTCTTCTGCCTTTTCTAACCAGATGCAGGAAGAAGGGGCCAAGGGACACTATTGTTTCTCCAGACCACCCTTGTCCCCAAGGAAGCAAGGAAAAGAGAATGAATGACAGAAGTACCCTTGTCCCTGTCCCCAGGCATCTTTGAGTTTTAATTCACTTTTGAACTTAAGGCTCTGATTGGATGTGTGCGGGGCGTGTGGAGAGCGGAACTGACAGGGACTCAGAGAAGGCACCCTCTGCCATTTGAGGTTGGGGTGTTTAGTCCCTCCTTCCCCAAACTCCTCCAGCCAGCTAGCCCCAACAGCTGGATTAATCACAGATTTAGATCTTGGTTGTGAAGGAATAACCGGCCACTGGAAGATAAAGCTGAGAACTGGACTGGAGACAGGGGCCACCAGCTCGGGGATGTCTAGACAGGAGGGGTGGGACCACAGGCTCAAAGTGGGAGATAAATTATCTTGTTCATAGAGGACGAGAACGATTTGGAGGTTGGTTTCCAGGGTTAGGATTTAATATTTGGTGGAAGGTGAGGCCCCAATGGTACAATGGTCGAGACTCTTTTCTTTCACCCCCCCTCCCAGCCCCTCCCCCTCCCCCCTCCCACTCTTCCTGGCCTGCATGGGAACTCAGTCTGAGCTCAGAGTGACAGACAGCAGGCTGCATGCTAATGAAGTTTGTCTCAAGTTCATTGTCAAAGCCCCCCCTCCCCATGGCCCCCTTCCCTTCTCTCTCAAACACAAATCTCCCTCCAACTTTTGTCCCACAGATCTGGAGGCCACTTGAGTCTCTGCTGGCTGGCTCCCCTCTCTCACCCTCCCCCACGGCTTTCAGTCTCTCCCTTCTCCCCACTACTTTCCTCAAATGGGGAGTGTGTGAGGGGGCTTTCTTCTCCGAGCCTTCCCAGACACCTCTGGCCCTGGCATCCCTAAGCCCCAAGGAGGGATTCTGAGGGTTGAAGTGTCAGAGTCTTCTGACAGTGGCCCTTCCCCATTCCCTAGTAAAAAGCTGCCCCCCTTCCAAGTCTCCTATCCCCCAACTCCCAGCCCTGTCTGGACCCAGTCTCCCCATTCCAGTCCAGCTGCCCCTCCCCCACCCCTCCCATTATGATTATTTCACTCTCCCTTGATTACATCTGCTTCACTAGCTCAGAAATAAAGATCCTTTGAGACTAATTTTGCACCCCCATCCCTCCCCTCCCCTTTCCTCTAGCTCAGGCTCCCGTTAGCTCCTTTCTCACCGGCTGGAAGACATTGAGTTCCTTGTCTAGGGAGCTGGGGGGTTGATAGGAGGGGGGTGCCAATGGAATGGGGGGGGTCTCTCCAACTCCAGGAGGACGTGTCCAGCAATCCAAACCTGTCCTTCTTTTGTTCCTACAATCTCTTCATACTGTCGCCACCCTCTGAAGCTTGCCTTCCCTCAGTAACCAGGGGCTAGGGAAGGAAGGGGAGGACCCTACACTCACCCCACCCTCGATTCCGGGAGAGAAAAGGGGAAAATTTTAAATCCCCCCTCATTAGCCAGAAAGGAAGCAAAAGGGGATAATTATAATTAAAAGCAGACAGCTGTGGATCCGTCTTTTATGTTGCTCCAAGCCTCCGCCCCATTTCTTCCATCACCCAGAAATCTGCCCCCTGTGTATCCTGGTCCGGCTCCTGCTGCGGTGGGGCTCACATGGGGGGAGACAGGCACAGGACTAGGCCCTTTCACTTCCTCTCCCCATAACACTTTCTGGAAAATCTTATTAGGCCCAGGAAATACTGTATCCCTCTTCCTGGCTCATAATCTGTACCTCGAAAGGTGGATCTAGGGGAGGTGGGGGCATTCGGATGAGAATAACCAATTCAATAGTGTGGGGATATCTTTGCTTTTCCTAAAAATAACCACCATGTTCATAATGGCATTAATACTAAGAACGAACTATAACTCAGAATGTTTTCTCATTCCTCCTTGCTCGGAATTGCCTCAAAGCCAGAAGAGAGCACATAATAACAAAGAGGGCTTGTAGGCTAGAGTACAGGCACACAGATACATATGTATGCCTGATCATTTTGGGGGTGGAGTTGCAAGGCCTATCTCTGCTATCATATGTATTTATAGAACTTGAGCTTAAGCCAGAACAGCAGGGTAATTGTGGCATCATTAGCATATATGCAAATCAGGCAACCTATATACACTGAATGGAGGCAAATTATTATTTATTCTCTTCCCTTTCTCCTTCCCTGGTATAAGCTCTGGTTCCTCTTGTAGCTGCACACCAGCAATTGCCTGACATTGTAAGAGGGAACTGTAGCCCTGGAGGAGGGGGCTGAGGTGGGGGAGACAAAACGCAAAAATGATGAAAGCCAGCAAGAAGGTTTTACCCATTTTACTTATTTGGGAAGAGTAGGGAGAGAATGGGTATGGAGGCTGAATGAACAAGGCGGCTGAGGTAGTAGGGAGAGATAGGACCTCAAGACAGGGACAGCCTTAAGGCAAAGATAGACCCGTCCATAGGGAGTGAGGAGCCAGGCATAGAGAACCTTCTTTGGATCTATGTATCTGGGCTGAGCTGGGGGGTACACATCCACACTCACTGCAGGCCTGGAGACTGAGCAGCTCCAGAGCCATCCTTATCAAACCCTTTCCCCTAGTAAGTGGCCAAGGCCCCCAAGCTCTGATGGATTTATTCATCTCATTACCACATGCACACAAACTAGGACCAAGGCTGACCTGAGAGCCTTTCCCACCAGCGCTGGGGTGGAGAGCTCTCTTTGCTTCCGGGAAAGCTTCAGCCTGGGCTCTCTGTGATCAGCCCCTGGTTCATATTCCATCCCCCTGTTACTCGGACTTCACACCACCCAGAACGAGAGACTGGACAGTTTCAGGTTTTATTGATTTCCCCGTCTGTCTGTTATTTCTAGGGCTCGCTGGGCTGGATCGGACTTGTCTTCCTCTGCCTTGCAGGCAGGATGCTGCTGGCCTTGGATGGCTGTGGAGCACCCAAGAGTGGCATCAAACCCCAGTTCCACCCTGCTCAGAAGGAGCCTCTAACTCCTAAGGGAGTGTTTCTTTTTGACTGATCCCAAAAGCTCTTTAAATTTTTTTCTATTACGTTTGTTTTTTTTATAGTGGGGGTTTCCACTGTACGCACACGGTCAGAGGACAACTAGGAGGAGTGGGTTCTCTCCTTCCATCCCGTGGACCCCAGGAATTGAACTCAGGTCATCAGCTTGTGCAGCAAGTGCTTTGCCTCCTGTGCCCTCTCCTGCCCGCCCCCCAACACTCTTTTGACATCCCTAGAGGTGTCTCTGTCAACTCCCCCTTCTCCCTTTCCTTGCCCATCCATCTGGCATCTACAAAGCCCTTGCCAACGAAGTCACACTCTACAAAGGCGACACTGGGGGGGGGGGCGGGGGGGGCGGTCACTGAAATTGGGAAAGGGTCTGAAATGTCCCTGAGAGCAATGCATATAAATATTCAAAGAAGCAGGAACCAAAAAGAGGTAAAAGCAAACAACCTCAGGGCTCCAGTCAGATGTGTGTCCAAAAAAATGAACCTGTGTTTCACACAGGGTTTGTCACTCACGACTTCACAGCCACCTTGAGCATCTGTATCGGCCTTCACTCCTGCATCCAGCCGGGGTCTTTGTGGTCGTGTTCAGTGGAAGAGCTGAAGCATAGGGAGAGCATGGAGAAAGAGCTGAGGAGGCAGAAGCCGGAGGAGAACAGGAGAAACACACAAAATCCGGGTGGGTTACTGCCTGTGGAACGAGAGGCGGATGCTGGGAGGCACCACAGCGCAGCCAAGGACAGAGCAACTGCCCAGTCTGTCAGGCAGCCCTGGGGGCTGAACTTTCATTTCCCACCCCACGGGAGGGAGAGACCTGGGACAGGACCTTTACATTGGCTCTGTTCAGTCCAGAAACTGAGAGCAGATTTGCAATGTCACCAAGCATGGTCTGCACTTTACTAACCTGGAGCCACTCGGATGATGGAAGGATGCCTTCCCACACTGGCTCCGTACATGTGGGCAGCTCGCTTAGGGTCTATACACTTTCCTACCTCTGTAGTTCTCCCACATGATAGTTAAACCCCAAACCTCTGAAGCTGTGTACGCAAGAAAGTCTTGCATTGGTATCATCTCTCCTCCCAATCCTCCCAGCAACTGGAGTGGACACCAGTAACTGTACACTGCTGGTCTTCTGGACTTCTGTGGAGCAGGTGCTCCTGTTCCTATAACAGATCTGTATTTTATCCAGTGTAATCTGTAATACATCGGCCAGGTATGTCTGGTTACCACTTTCACTGATGCTTTGGAACGTACCTTTGAGACCTGGAGTAACAGCTCACACAGCCCTTCACCCTCAGAGTCTCTCCTGAAAGCAGCCCAAATGCCCTCATTCGGTAGCTTGATTATGTATTCACTCTACAGTGATAAACCACCATAACCACACAGTCTCCTCCATCCTGGAACAAGAGAAGCAAAGACTAGCATACCAGCTTGTTATCGGTCCCCAGAAGCTGGAGAGGAGTCTCCTGTTCTCCGTCTCCCTGCCTGTGTGTCAGGACCCACACATCTGTACACATTACTTTATTCCTAGAACCATATGCATCTCTTGTTTGCTGTCACATAAAGAGATCTCCACACGGACCCTGGTCAAGCACTGTCTCTGCGTTTGACACAGGCAGGATAGCATGGCTCCTGGCCGGCAAACACAATGGCTGTCCGTTGACTGGCTTTCTCGCTGCAGAATGGGTAGGCAGACTTTTCTAGGTCTGATATTCACTTCTGAGGCTAAGCACTCCTCTGGGCTTTGGTGGCACTCTTGAGCAGTGACTCCAGCCACAGCCCCAGTGTTGGCAGAGGGAAGGAGTCTGGGTGGGTGTATGTGGGTGTTCTGTCCCCGGTGACCTCTAAGTTAACACTGAGACTGAAACCTGCCCCTTACTGGGTGTGAGCAAGTAGGTTTACCCTTGCTTTGTGTCTTGCTTATATTCTGAGTGCACAGCCTGTGTGTACTGATGGGGATATATGCATCATGACTGAGTGTACAGTCAGGGTCTGTGTGTACAGTTTGGGGCTTCATGTAACAAGCTGATCCTGGCGTGGGGTGGTGGTGGTGGTGTGTGTGCAGAAAGTTGGCTTGAGTTGGCTGTGGCGCTCCCAGGTAACTAGATGTAGAGGCAAGGGCTTGCGGTCCTGAAGACACCCCCCCCCCCCCATCCGAGGAGTCCCAGTTTCTGCTATCTCTATCTGCCCTGCGCTAGGCTAGGCCGGGAGGAAGCAGGACTAGCTGGCAGGCCTTTTTGTGTGGCCCTCAGCGGCGCTCCCCCCAACCCTGTGGTGCAGTTTTCCGAGTTCAGCAAAGTCCACGTAATGGCGTGGATCAGCCTGGATGTACTAGGTGCTCTGAGGGGGAAGAATAAAGTGTGGGGCCACTGAGTGCCGGCACGCGGGTGGGCTTGGGAGGTTGTTCCTCGTTGACCCGCTCTCCCTTGCCACTCACAGAAGATGCTGCGGTGTGTGGTACGTGAGAGTCTTGTCCCTGAAGTGGGGAGGAGAGAAAATCAAGGAGCCCGGACTTGGGAGCAAGAGGATGAGAGAGATGGGGGTGGGGGAGTGCACCTGGAAACAGATTTCAAAAACAGAACATCTACTTGGAAAGAAATAAAGCATTAAGACAAAAGAGATAGTAATGCTAAATGAAGCTAGAAAGACGACCAAAGACACGTTCGGGTTAGAATTCTGTGCGGGGAGCCGGGCTGGGCGGGGCGGAGGGGGCGGACGACGCACCTGCCCTGGAAGGGCCTCGACCGGGCGCGGCGGCGGCGGCGGCGGCGGCGGAAGCGGGAGCCGGAGTCTGGCTGCTCGCTCGCCGCACCCCAGACCTCGCTCGGACGAAGAGCAGAGCGCCAGGGGCCGCCCCAGCCCAGGGCGCGGCGGAGCGCGCTGGAGGACGGCCGGAGGCTCGAACCCTGGGCGGGCGGCCGAGCCTGCGCCAGTGGCGCCCCGCGGTGTCCGGTGCCCGGGTTGTGACCGAGAGGCTTGGCCCCGGGGAGGGCCGTGGAGCCGGGACCGCGGCCGCTCCCCGTTTCGTCCCTAGCGGCCCGGTTCTCCCGGACGCTGCGCTCCCCGCGGCGGGTCCCGCTCGCATCCCAAGGCTAGGCTGGGCGAGCTTGCACCGGGTCTGGAGGCGCCGCCGACGGCGTCCTGGGCCCCGCACCCTAGCAACCGGGACTCTAAGGCTGGGTCAGTTCATTCTCCCCGAAACCTGAGCAACGCCCCGGGCCCTCCAGGTCTTTCCTGCTGGGCGAGAGGGCCGCCGCCGCCGCCGCCGCCGCGAGCTCGTGGCCACTTCCCCCGGCTCTAGTCTGAGGTCCCCGCAGCCCTTCCTGTAAGAAGGGGATGAGTAAACGTGACAGTTCGCCTAAGACCCACCCTGAGCTGATGGGTCAGTCAGCGGACCTGTTCCCAGAAAGTTCTGGACCTCATCAAAACGAGGGATGTTAGCGCGAGTGGGTGTGGGCCACTCCCTAGCTTCTGCTGGGGATCCAGAGAACCCGCAGGGGGCCGGGCCGGGGTGACTGGCCGCTTGGGGCCCCGGGCAGGTGGGAAGGGCACCGACTGCCGCGCAGTCCGGCTCACAATCTCTTCCTGACCTGACAAAACGGTGGAGGAAAGCGGCCTCCCGGGGTGGCGGGTGGCAGGGTGGCGGTGTCTTGTACCTGGGCTGGGCTCTGCTCACTCGCTCAGGAGGGTTGCGTGGATTTTCCGTTTGGTATGGCGTTTAGGGTTGGGCGGATGGCCGTCCCTCCTCTCTGCCTGTACCCCCGCTTCTGAATCCCATCAATTTCTCTCAAATAAACAGATACATGGCATATTGTCGCTCTTCAAAAAAAAAAAAAAATGGCATAAAACAATTCACGGTAGATTGAAATAGCCTGACATAAAACGCTGCACGAGTCAGATTCCTCTCAGGGCCTCTGCCTGAGGCATCTTTTAGAGTTGACACTCTCTAAAACGTTGTGATTTTTTCTTCTACAGGGCGGCGGCGGCGGTACAGAGGCCCAGACTGACGTGCCTTCTACTTGAAATTGAATTTGTACTGCCTTTCTACGTTTACCACCAGGAGCAGCATTATTATTTCGAGAGAGTTTTGCGTGTTGCCCTGGCTAGCCTTGAACTCACAGCAACCCTTCTGGCTTAATATTTTGTATTTCTTAATAATTTGTATTTTGTTTCTTTTTTTCCTTTGGGTGTGTGTTGGGGGGGGGTTGGGTCTTGAACCTATGGCCTTGAGCACAGTAGGCAAGCACTCTATCTTGGGGCTATATCCGTAGCCCCCACTTCTTTTGTTTGTGAATTTATTCTAGGAGACTTGTGAACATGGTACATATTTTGATTTGTGTTTTGTTTTTCCTTTTTGTATTTTTGTTTGTTTGTTTGTGATAATGCCCATATAGCCTAGGCTGGCCTCAAACTCCTTATATAGTCAAGGTTAGCCTTGAACTGCTCATCCTCCTACCTTCCAAGTGCTGGGGTGACATGCACTGGGTACTATGTTTAACTCTATGCTTTAGGTTTTTTGTTTGCTTGCTTTTGTTTTTTTGTTTTGTTTTTTGTCTTTTTTGTTTGTTTGCTTTTTTTTTGTTTTGTAGCCCTGGCTGCTCTGGAACTCACTTTGTAGACCAGGCTGACCTCAAACTCAGAGATCTTCCTGCCTCTGGCTCCCAAGTGCTGGAATTAAAGGCGTACACCACCACTGCCCAGCATGCTTTAGTTTTTAATAGTCAAAGTAAAATCTGCAAGTGCAATTAAATTCACTCAGATACCTATCCAGAGACAGATGCAACAATAAATTGGGATGTGTAGGCCAGGCATGGTGGTGTAAGCCTGTAATTCTAGCACTGGGGAGACAGAGATAGGGAGATAACTCATAAATTTGATGACAGCCTGGTCTATATAGCAAGCTCCAGGCTAGCCAGAAGTACACAGAGAGACCTTGTTTTAAACAAAACAAAGCAAATGTTTGGAAAATGACTTACAATGCTAAAATAGATAAACATGACGTTCAGGAAGGGAGAGTTTGGACTTGCTTATCAGCATGAGTAGGTTTTACACCACAGTGTTGTAACGATGGGGGGGGAGGGTAAAATGGAAGGAGACAAATAACACTGTTCCACTTGTACAGACTAGAACAGGTGGACTAGACAGAGGTGTGGCTCCCAGCACGTTTCTGCATTAGGAAGACAGGGAGTCAAATAAAAGGCCAGGGAGAGCACAAGAGAGAGCAGGAGGAAGATAGAGGCCGGAGACACAGGAAAGCTATGGGTGTGGAGGCGGTCTCAGCCCTCCTGCTACCCCTATGACCTCAGGTAAATCACCCGCCTGTCTGCAGCCATTCCAGTGCCTCCTCACTCAGCGCCAGGCCTGAAATCCTGCACATCCAGCTTTCTGTATAAACTGCAAGAAGTCAGTTTGAAATGGGGTCCACAGACAACCTCCATCAGCACCCACAATCTCACCATGCCTGGTGTCTGGAGAGGGCTCCACTTAGCGGGACCTCAGTAAGGAGGGGAGCCCTCCCAGGCTAGGGCAGCTTGCCATGCCTTTCCTATCCCTCCCAGTTTCTCAGTCCCATGTCCCCACAGTGGATGCCTTCCATGGGGTCTGCTGTAACAACCCTTAAGTGTGGAAGAGGAGATGGGCCTGAGCTATAGCTTTGGGAATGCTGGGGAGGACATGGATGGAGATCTTGGGGCAGACAGACTTTGGACACTACGAGTTTTCTTTCCTTCCTAGGCAAGAGATTCAGTGACATTATCTTTACCACCCCCACCCCACTCCCATACCCCGGGTTAGGAGGGTCTGAGTACACATGCCGAAGAAAGTGAGGCTGGAGGACTGGGGTCCTTTCTGTCTCCAAGGAAGAGAGTCTAAAGAACTCCCCCCAAGCTCTCCAGAGCGGGATTCCACCGCTCCCAGAGGGGTCCATTCTAACAAGGTGCCCCTCGGCCTGCCCCTCCCTCCCCAGGAGCTGAAGCCGCCAAAGGTTCTGGAATATAATGGATCATTTTCCAATTTACCAGGGTCTTAGAGATTACGCCGCTAATCCCATCAAAGACCATCTGCTTACATTGTCCCTCCTGAGCCAAAATAAATAGACCCTTTACTCCTTCCACTTCAGCCCCTCTGGGGCATTTGTACCAAGAGAATGGAAAAGGCCCACCCCACCCTCCCCACCCCCCTCCCAACTGAGCCCTGGACAGAAAGGCAGAAAACAAACTTAGCTTGTCTGAGGTGTGAAAGGTCACTCAGGCTCCTGACCTGCCTTCTTCCCAGAGAGCCTTCCCTGATGGGAATAGGGAGAGGGGCGGGCCAGAGCTCTAGGGGTCTCTCAGGATCAGCCCCCTGTGGAGGTATGGGACAGGCTATTCAGTCCCCCACCGCCCTGCTGTCTTTGCCTCGAGGCTACCTTAGCCCAGGCCAATTCTGGGCTCTTTCTAGTTATTTTACATTTCCCCCACCTGAGTCTACTGGGACATAATTACTGAAATCTGGCTTTCATCCGTCCCTTGGCAAAATTATGGGGGAAGGGGCACAAAAATCCAATAAACACTAATATGTTTTTAATCTCCATGCATTTATTCTGAGGGCTCTTCCCGCTTGCTCAGCCACTGGTTAGTACCCTTGTCTAGAAGGACTTGGTAAACCAGAGGAGAGGTTAGAAACAACATCTCATCAGTCTCCTTCCTCACAGTATGCATGGACAGACAGTGAGGTGCTGGGGAGATGGATACATAGGTGTGCTGGCTAGTTTTATGCCAACTTGACACAATCTAGAATCTTCAGAGAGGAGGGAGCCTTAGTTGAGAAAATGCCTCTGTAAGATTGGGCTGTAGGCAAAACTGTAGGGCATTTTCCCAATCAGTGATTGATGGGGCAGGGCCCAGCCCACTGTTGGGTGGTGCCATCCCTATGCTGGTGGTCCTGGGTTCTATAAGAAAGCAGGCTGAGCAAACCGTGGGGAGCAAGTCAGTAAGCAGCACCCCTCCATGGCCTCTGCATCAGCTCCTGCCTCCAGGTTCCTGCCGTGTTTGAGTTCCTGTCCTGACTTCCTTCAGTGATGGACTGTGATGTGGAAGTGTGCGCCAAATAAACCCGCAATTCCCCAACTTGCTTTTGTCAGGATGTTTCATCACAGCAACAGGAACCCAAACTAAGGAGGCAGAGTGCTTGCTACAGGAGCCCAAGGCACTGAGCTCGGATCCCCAGCAGGATTTAAAAGCTAACAGGACTGATGGAATGAATCTGCAATCCGGGCCAGAGAGGCTGAGACAGGAGAACCCTGGGGGGTTGTGACCAGCCAGTTGAGCTCAAACGGGTAGGAAGGTGGGCTCTAGGTTCAGAGAAGGACCTTACTTCAAAAACAAAAGGAGGAAGGCAATAGAGGGAGACACCTCCATCAACCTCTGGTTTCCATATGCATGCACACACATTCACACACATCACCATGCATGTGCCCTCACACACTGACAGAAAACTTAAAAGAAATAATAAAAATAAAAAGATAGTGACTGCCGTGGAAAGGAATAGAAAACAGCACAAGACAGTGAAAGTGGACCTTACTGAGGAGGAGGTCCAGATGTTGAGGAGGCCAGCGAGTTCTCAGGAACAGCCCACCTCTGCACTTTCCTTAGCTGATGCTGTTTCCACCTCATTTTATCATTCAGCCATTATTGCTAGCTGCTTTCTACCCTGCTCAAGGACCTGAAGGGGGTCAATCTGAAGAAGCCAGTCTCCCCAGCTCTGCCAAACAACCGCTGATTTGGGGGTGATGGCCACGAAGGACTGGTCCCCAGGAGGGGGACTTACTTCATTTGGAAAAGCAGCTGAGGTGGGGGACAGAGAAAGCAAATGGCTTTCTTCCAGCTGGGGATCTTGGGCACGGGGCCTTCGCCCTCTGACTCCCCTTCTCCTTTAGACACAGAGATCAAGCCTGCCCCCGGGGCTGCTGTGAAGTTGCCAGAGACGGCGGCACACCATTCCTGATGTGCTGCAGAATGAGGCAGGGAATGAGCCCCAGTCAGATGTTAGGAGACGCCCATCCACTTAAGAGAGAGATGGGGAGTTTTGAGGCTTTGCCTTCAGACACAAAAGATGAACTCCTAGTTCCTAAGTTGATTCACGTGACAAATGTTTGCTGGGTGCCTCCCTGTGTAAGGTAGTAAGGGATCAAAAAAAAAAAAAAAAAAAAGTCTGGGGATGTGTCATAAGTGAAGAGTGAAAACAGGGACATTGATTACTGCTCAGAAAATATAGGGAGAAATTCTGTGGAGAAATTCTAGCACATGTCTGTAATTCCAGCATATGGGAGGCTATGGCAAAAGATGAAGAGTTTAAGGCCATCCTGGCTACAAGCTAGGAGAGAGAGAGAGAGAGAGAGAGAGAGAGAGAGAGAGAGAGAGAGAGAGAGAAACACACCAGAGCAAAGCAGAATCAGGATGGCTTTGTCATAGAAGGTGTATGAGCTGGGTTGTCTCCTCCGAAGGATGAGGGCGTCACAGAGCACACAGGGTGTGGGAGAAAGCAGGTAGTATGAGAGACCATGTTAGTGACGCAGGTCCCAAGATTTCAGATATCTAGGTACCACTAGCCCAATGTGAGCCACTCCCGTCATGTGACTGCTTGATGCCAAGGTGGTCCTTGGCTCTGAGAATGACCTTATCCAGATTAAAGGAGGTGACAAGAGCCGCTGGGACTAGCTCCATCTGAACAGAAGGCTGGCTCCTGAGACAGCCCCAGGCAAAGGACCAGGGACAAGCAGGGAGGCCCTTGCTGCATGAGGTCGGGTGGGGCAGTGGGTAGCTGACTACTTCACCTCGCCCACCCCCTTGTCGGCATCTTAGACTAGGGTTCATGGTGACCATTAAGTGAGATGAGGTGACCTTGCAAAGTGCCTGGCATATGGGGGGAATACTTGAAACGACTCAGAAAGAGTGTCTCCTGAGGTGAAGATTTGTGAGGAAGAAATGACTCCTAGAGACGTAGCGCCTGTCTGCAGTTGTTAGTGGCCGTCCGGGCAGAAAAGGGTCAGACTTACCTAACACTACAGGAGACTCTGGGACTAGGAATGGGGAAGAGGGAGGTGAGGGTGAGCGTGCAGAGCAACAGGCAAGCGTTTGGTGGTGCGCATCTGGGGTCTCCGCACTGGAGGGTGCAGGCCGGAAAAGCCTGAGTTCAGAGTCGTCCTCTGTGCTGGTTAGTGTTTATCAGCTTGACACAGATCCGGTTAGCCGGGAAGAGGGAACTTCAAGTTAGAAAACGCCTCCATCAGACTGGCCTGTAGGTAGGTCTGTGGAGCATCATCTTAGTTAATGATTGATGTTGGAGGTCCCAGTC